ATTAAAAAAAATATTTAGAAACATCTCCGCTACTAAATTTAAAAATTGATTTATAAGGAAAAATTCTATTCCTCTCCCCCCTATAATGCGAAAGACCTAGTTTTTTATCCTGCCATAAAAATGCCTGTATAACACTATAAAATTTTCACCTCCGATCGAAGCGACTGGCACATAATGATGACCTCGATGAACTTGAACACAAGGATTTGGATCCTAAAATCAAGAAAATAATAACAAAATCAAAGCCGTACTCTTGATCGTCGTCGTTGGTATAGCTGAGGATAATCCCCTTGACCTGGCTCATCACCGTCCAAAATTCCTCGTGCGACAGGTCGGGCTGCTGGTCGATGATGCAGCGGAAAATCGTCGGGTAGAGCCGAACGAAGGCGCGAATGAGCTAAAAAAAACCCGGATGAAGTCGTTAACGCTATATCCTACCCCTTTTAACATGGCCATATCATCGGTGAGTAAATTGGCGCCAAACGAGGCCACCGAGTAGCGAATAGTCTTCTTGCTGAGGAAACTAAAAGGCGGCGAGTTTTTCCTTTAGAACAAAACGAAAAACGTACCATATCTCCGTCAGGAATTCAATGACGACCAGACGAATAGAGAGCGAAGGGTCGACGAGTACTGCTTGAACTTCTTGAATATAGGAGTCGAGTAGGAGCTCGGGGGGCTCGACGCCGTCGGTGAATAGGGTGAGGGCCTGAAAAAGCATATTTACCTCCCGGTCGTGTTTCCTTAATTATTATAATTATGACTTTAGAAAGAGTAAGAGTATTTTTCATTAAAACTCGCTAAAATAAACCATTTCCCACACTCCTTGAGCTCGAGAATTCGTTTATCAATTACTATCTCCCATCCACGTCTCAAAAAGTCGTTAAAACCCCCACCTTTTTGACAAGCCGCAGCCGCTCGGTGTCGTCTCGCGTCTCGGCCACCCGTTTGAACGCACGCCGACAGGCTTCTTGCCTGTCCGCGGTGCTCATCTGGAATTTAACCAAGTTTTTAAAAGCAAAAAATGAAAAGATGGATAGAAAAGAAAACGTTTTTGAAAGTAACAGAAAACGTTTCGAAAAGGCCCCCGAATTCCCCGGCAACAGACTACAAAGGGGCCGGCGGCTAAAAGGCGCCTTTGGGCCACAGGTCGGGGCCGAGATTCAGCGTCACAAATCCAGCAAAAATGAGGTTTTTGAAGCGTAAAATACGGTAATTCACAAGAATGAAGGTGTATTTGGCTGTATAAAGTCAGTTGCAGCACTTTTGTGGACTTTATAGTGCTTGGTTCCTGCAAAAACCGGGTAGAAGGAGCTAAATAAAATTCGTAAAGTCTGGTCTGTAGCTGTGGAACAATTGGTGAAAAATGTGGGAGAAGCGATGCCCGAAAAAGGTGCGTCTGCAGCTGACCGCGGCGGATTGACGCGACCGCGACGCATACGCGTATGATCGATGGACTGCGTGGTGTATTGCGGCTGCGGTGAAGCATAAGCCTAACGGCGCTAAAAGCCAAAAAATCAGCCGTTAAAAAACGAGAAGTTCGCAAAACCACGGTTCAATAAGGTTGGCAGAAAAAATGTTTCCTAATTTATTGCTAAAAAATTTGCATAAACTATCATTTCCAACGCTTCGACATCAGTACAACAAATTTTGCATAACCGAACCGGAAGCTGGCCGTCATTAGCATTCAAAATCCGAGAGAAAATGGATTTCCCCACACTGGCGCATCATACGAATTCGTCCTCGTCCACGGATGGTCGTCAGCATTCTGCGCCAGTTGATGCTCTTTGGTTTGCTCCTGCTCCTCGCCATGCATCTTCCCGGCGCTCATGCTCAAGAGGTACGGGCTTCTTTCAAAATAAAAAACTTTTTGATGGCATTATCACGCACTCTTTTGCAGGGCTGCCCGGAAGGCTACGGTCGACCTCTCGCCTGCTTCGTCGTCAGGGATCCGGTGCAGCGGTCGATCGCGGATGTAAGTTTCATCTCACCCTCTCTCTCACTCTCTCTCTGTCTCTCACTCGCTCTCTCTCTTGCTCTGTCTCTCTCTCTCTCTCACTCTCGCTGTTTCAGAATGCCCTCTGCCACTGCCCTGTGGCCCCCGATGCGGTCTGCGACAACCATTCGTTCATCAAGGTAATAATCGTCACTCATTACTTTCTAAACCTCTGATTTTAGGTTTTCAACAAGACGATGTGGCTGAACTGCAACTTCGACCTGTTCATCGAGAAAGAAGGGGGATGCTCGACGAAGGATCAGCCGAAAGATGGGCCGAAGGGGATCTGTCTGGCCGGATGGGAGCACGCCGCTGTTCCGCCCGATCCCACCACCACTACATCGGTTTGGCAGTGACGTAGTATTCGGATACTGATTCTAGACGACAACTACCACCACTACGACGACCACTACAACAACCACCACGACCACCACAACGACCACCACCACTACAACGACCACCACTACAACGACCACTACCACTACAACGACGACTACAACAACGACCACGACCACCACAACGACTACAACGACCACGAAGGCCCCCTTTGGCGTTTTCGCGCCCAAACCGGATGCCCGAAAGGTGAGTGGTGGTGGGAGTGGACGTAAAACCTTTTCTGAAACTGACTGCAAAATTTCGACTTAATTTGGAGTCTCATTTCGGGACCAGGTGTCACTTGTGCAGAATTTTTTGGAATTGCAGGGGACGGAACAGACATGCCTTTTTCGATCTTATCGTTATTTTCCTTACGGAGGTTTCCGGCCGCATTCGATAGAGCATCGGAAACTATACTAACTATCGAATTAGATATACGGATAGACAGACAGACACCATAGCCCATATATTATTATACTTGAGGATATATGATTCGATATTATTTTGCAGTGCACCCCCGCGGCTAATACTACCGACACGTGCGTCAACTGCAACGTGGGGATAGACCACGCGGATAGAAGGAACAAGGAAACGGGCCGCTGCCCAAAATGCGAAGGGATCGTCGCCGAGGATTGCCCGGTATGCTGCTCGTTAACCCTTTTGCAAAACTGCACTCTTGCCAAATGTTGGGTATATTGACTAATTAGGACAAGATTCAGTTCGTCCCGTTTAAAGAGGCTCCGAAATCTGGTCCACGGCCCTCAGCGTTGATTCCTAGCCAGATGCGGCCGTGCCGCATTTTTTCCAATTCATTTTTCGCCCAATACGACCAAATTTTCGACTTGTTCAAACAATTTTCTAACTTTTTTCCGGAAGTTTTTCTACTTTAAATATGGTTAAAACTTATAAAACAACCAGCGCCCAAAACCCGCTTCGCGGGCCTTGGGCGCTGGAATGCGGCCTTTACATGAAAAATTTGTCTTCCCGATACCTCGGGTCCTTCGGACCCCTTCCCCCCACCGGCCACACACGCGAGTGCAACTGGCCAGAATGAGGAAATTTGTATTTTCCGCATTATGCAAATTAGCCATCAGGGACCCCCAAAAATCAATAAAACCGGCTTTAACTTTGTAAACTTGTATTTTATCGCAATTCTGACAACGCCATCGGAAACAGAAGGGTCGATTCCCCCGGGTGACGGAGAATTAGGGCATTTTATACACGGGAAGGCCCTCAAATCGGGCCTCGAAAGTGACATCCACACACACACACACACACACACACACACACACACACACACACAAACATACGCGCCAAAATTATATAAGGTAGGATGTAAAAATACTTTATATTTGGCTAATAGGCAAACTGGGACCGTTAGGAAATAAATTGGTTAAAAATCGGAAGCAAATGGAAAAAACCTATAGAACCGAAAGTTGCTTTTAGTGCGACGACGCGGATTCGTATTGCATGAACTGTGCTCGCCCCGAATGGCAAGATCATCAGGACTGCCATGGGTGCCGGTGGGCTGGAGACAACGCTCATCCCTCCTGTCAAATCAAGTGCCTCGTACCGGGCGACGGGGTAAGCTACAATCTATTTCGCCTTTTCGGTTACCAGACTGTCGATTGATTTTATGGAACCGGCGCTGTAATGCTTTTTTTTTCAGCCAAAAAGTTCGTATATGTCGAAGGATCCACGCTGTCGATACCACCATCTTTATCCCACCTATTTGCATCAAAAGCCTGGGAACAAGGATTGGGTGGGCTAGCTGTTTTGCAAGGGAATCGTGGGATATAAGTTAATCCTACTATATATAAAAAATAGTGTTTGTGTGTGTGTGCCACTTTGCATCCACTTCCGTTTGTCTGTCCGGAGGATATCTCAAGAAGGGACGGGTATTAGGCTACGTATGATACGTCATTAGGTGCGCGATGGTCTAGGAATGACTGCACACATATCAGATTTTCAAAAATTAGCCGTTTTCGCTATTACATTTAGATTTTTGTAAAAACCTCTTTGTTAGGAGTAATTAGCATAAACCGGAAGTGGGCGGTCGCCTATATAAAGAGGCAGAAAGGGTTGCTTTTCATTTTTTTTTGTCTTCTGAATGGCGGACAATTATGCAAAGGCAGCATAGTATGGGCTCCGAGACGGGGCCAAGGTTGAAAAGTTGCGAAGCGGCTTTTCAACCCTGGTATTATATAATTATATAAGGTAGGATGCCATTGAGACAGCGAAAACTGCGACCATTGAGGCGTCCATGGAGCCTACACTTTCGAAGCCTTTTGAAATACTCCCTTTCAGTGGTACTCACCCTTCTCAGGCCCTACCTACAAGCCAGAGAAGGTTCGTTTTCCGTGGAACAATAGTTTTCTCGGAAAACCTTGGTCGAGACACCAATAATCATAATTCTCCAGCGCGTCCATCGTGACGTTGCGGCTTCTGGAGCGCCAATCAAGCGGATCCGACTTCGTCAGCGCTCCAAGCGAGATGACGACCCGAACGTGTTCATCTACTACCCGATCAACCCCACTTACAACCCCAAGTGCCGCCGGGAAGATTTTGACAAACTGGTTTGTCGTTCCTTTTCCTACTTGAGTTTTGACTTTAGAGTGCGAATGAACTGGCGATGGCGTCGATGAAGCTGCATTTTGGATGCTACGAAGGGACATGGTGCGAGGAGCAGAATGCCTTTCCGAGGTATCATCACAATTCATTCGTTCCAACCATTCTCCATCCCTTTCAAGTGAAATCTTGGCCAATGCCTCGCTGGCCCGCATCTGCTACCCGCGTCCGTTGAAGACCTACATCCTCGGCAAGGGCAGATACAAGCCGGTGAGTATCGTTTTGTTGAGAATCACATGGCGGTGACAATTCCCCGTCCGAAGTATGATGTATTGAGTATTTTCAGTGGTGCACCGATCCTCACGGCAATCAGTTCGAGCCGAAGAATGTGGCGAGTTGGGGATGTATGGTACTGCCGTTCTGCAAACTGGACCAACCGGGAGAATTCGATGAGTCAGTCCGCATCACAGTCTCATCCATTATCCCCTGTATTTTACAGACAAAAATACCTGAGACCTGTAGCTGAAAACGGAGATCTGCTGAACTGCATGGATATTTGTCCAAGAAACGAAAATGGCCGTGGATTGACGGACAAACCGGATTGTCGACCCATCCCTAGCAATCCGGAAAACGACTATTTCGGTGTTCTCAGCATTACGGTTGATATCTCTTCTGATTCGCCACAATACTCTTTACAGGAAAAGATGGATTGGTGTGACGCGGAGAAGTCGACTCACAAAGACCCGTGGTCACTCAACCCACCGTGCAATCCGATTCCGCAGTGTCGAGGAAATGTCGAAGGACGTGCTGTGGGTTTTCTAGTCGTCATTCAGACAGCAGATGATCATCTACCACGAGACAGTTGCCGTATTTCAGCCGGATGCGAGGGATTGGCGCAAGAATCTGCTCTACTACCAGAAAAATGTCGACGGGGTCCCATGCGTCGTCTACAAGCAGTGCAGTGCTTTGACGGAAGAGGAGAGGATGAAGGTGGGAGACTTGTGGAGGAATAAAGGTAGATGAACACTTTTTCAGTACCATTGCGTCGGCTCGGCCATGACAACAAGCACGACAAAAGCCTCGACGACGACAACGGCAAAGACGACTGCAAAGACAACGACCGAGAAACCGAATGACGGGCTGGGGGATGAGGTCATCTTGATTGCAGGTAGAACATTTGATCGTACTTGTACAATTCGTCTCTTCAGCACTGGGCGGCGGCCTCTGCCTGTTCCTCATGGTGACCGTCATCGTATTGTGCTGCTGTCTGAAGAAGAAGGACAAGGGCCCGAAGGGAAAGAAGCCCATCGTCGATGACATGGTGGGTAGATGAGCAGCCGCATGCGGCTCATGCCAAATTCACAATGGCCTTTTTTGTAGATGAACGTCGGCGCTGGCTCGGCGGTCGTCGACCTCGACGTGGCGCCGATCAGCAACACCGAGGAGGGAGCAACAGGGAAAACTCGAAATTCAGGTCAATTAATTGTTCTTCTCTTTCCCTCTTTCTGTTTTCGTTTGAAATCATGTCTTATTTCTTTCCCACAAATCCCCCTAGTTTCCCTGCCCAAAATTTTCCGAATAATGTTCCTTGTACACCCCCGCCCCATATCAAGAACTGCCACCCGTTGATGATGCCACCGAATCCGCCACCAAAATGGAATCAGCCCTGGAAAGATGACGCCATGGCTGCGAAAACCTTTACGGACGATTATATGCTCGTCGTAAGCGGTTTGTCGGAGGTACAGCCAGACCCTCGCCTGTCGCCGGTCGATCGCCGCCACTACGATCGGCTGCAAATCGAGCACGTTTTTGCTTTGCTAGGATTAGACACGGATATTGTCTATAGCTATCGAATGGGAGTTTTCGATTTTTCAAAACCGCGGCCCCTGAAGCTCATCGTCTCCTCTAGGCATATGGTGTCGAACGCAGTTGCGACGTTTCGCAGAACTCCAGCGAACAAGCTGCCTTACGCAGCTCGCGGCCTACAAGTCCGTAAATCTGATCCATCACGCTTCAGCCCCGGCCGTCCCAACGCAGAGCCGACGAAAGAAATCGCCGCTTCTACCCAGTATGATGAGGAAATCATGCAAATCGACCCGGAAACTTCCACTCTGCCTAACCAACCGCTCACTCAGGTTAGGCTCCGCCCTGCGGTTAATAGGAAGCCAAATCGAAAGTTCGGACAAAGGGTGGCTTCCCAAGCTGGCAAAGGCCCTCTCCAAACGAAGAGGAAGGCCAATGCCGCCGACGGCCAGCAGCAACTCCACAAAATTAGCAAAACGATAGATGACGACGGATCGTCTGATCGCGAGGACATTTTGCCGGGATACGATCCGAAGGATGCGAAAGGCAGCACCTCGTCCCTTGCTAGCGATTCCTCTGCCGCCACGGTCATTGTCAAACCCTCTCCGCGCCCCCCATACCCGGTCCCAGTCCTCTTCGCAGCCCTAACATTTCCCCCACCTTGACAATATTTTCGCTAAACTCCCGTTCCATTAAAACTAAACTAGTCGAACACGAAACGCTCCTAGCAGAAAACCTTTATGACATGATTTTTTACCAAGAAACCTGGCTTTCCGAGATTGTGCCCGATAATCTACTTACTGGACCCGTAGGAGCATATAAGGTTTTTCGCGCCGATAGGCAAGATAGAACAGGAGGTGGCGTTTGCATTTTAGTTAGATCCCACATTCCTACAAAAATAATTCTTTCCACTTCTTCTTACGGAAGCGAAATCTTAATTCTCGATATATTTCTAAATTTTCAACAACTCCGCTTTATCAACCTTTATAGGCCGCCGCAAGTTACGTTTGAGGACACTAAGTTGTTGCTGTCAAGTCTAGATGGTCATGTTGCCGCTGCCGAACATGTCTTATTGGTCGGCGATTTAAACTTTTCAATCTTTCCAGGCATCGTCCCGACGTTCGGCGACAAAAAGGGCTCTCCTTTTGCACGAGTTTACCGTAGAATTAGGCTTAACGTTAGTCTCAAATTTTGCCACATACCCACAAACCGGAAAAATGCTAGACGTGGCTATTTCGTCGCCCGGCCTTGTCACATCTTGTTCTCCCCACGCGCCTTTCGCCAAATGCGATCATCTAAGCATGGTCATTAAAGTAGATTGCGTAGTGTCAAAAAGTAACTTTCAACCGTCCGGCCTAGACTTTACGAAAGCCGATTTTGAAAACATAAATTGCGAAATCTACCACGCTGACTGGTCATTTTTGTCAAACCAGGCGCTAGGCCTGCAATCAAAGTACGACCAAATCATCCATAAACTAGGACAGATCTGTTCCAATTTTGTGCCCAAAAAAGGTTTTAGAGCTCCCTCTAGGATACCCGAACACATATCCCGCTCGGCAAACCGGAAAGAAACCTTTTGGAAACGCTTTACAAGAGGCGAAACATCTTTCGACGAATATCTTGCTAGTTCAAATCAACACAAGCGAAATTGTAGCAAATTTCTCTCAAATTTTGAGCGTCGCGTCTTCTCCTCCGGAAATCCAAGGCGTATCTTTTCCTATCTTAACTCCAGGCCCAAAAAACCTCCCGCCTCGGCTCTTGTAAACCCTACAGGCATGTTAGTAACCTCTGCCGAACAAATTCCTGAAATTTTAGCGCTAAATTTCTCAAAGGTCTACACAAACGCCGGTGTAGACCACTCCTCGACTAGATCCCTCTCTTTAGTTGCACCAAATTCTACTTTTCCAGCCTTTCTGTTAACCCCGATCGATGTAGAAAATGCTTTCAAATTATTGGAGCCAAAACTGCACTGGACGCCTGAGAACCTGCCAGCCTTTTTCCTAAAAAACTGCTCTCAGACACTTTCCAAAATTCTATGCCACTTTTTCAACCTTTCGCTTCTTTCGGGACAGATCCCCGACCAATGGAAAGTATCGCAAATCTTCACATTGTTTAAATCAGGGGACGAAACCTCGCCCGGAAACTACCGCCCCGTTGCCCTGACCTCCTCCATTTGCAAACTAATGGAAGTAGCTTTAAAAACGAAAATCGTGGCGCGTCTTGAGCTAAATAATTTCTTTTCGCCAGCCCAATTCGGCTTTAGAAAGTTTCATTCCACGACCACGCAGCTTTTGCAAATGTTTCACAAAATCTCTGAGAAAATCGACGCCGACGAGGACCCTATCACGATTTATTTTGATCTAGCCAAAGCTTTTGACAAAGTTTCCCACGCACTTTTAATCACTAAGCTTTCTCATATAGGTTTTCCGCAGATATTGGTTACTTGGATTGAAGCCTATTTGACAAATCGATCTTTCTATGTGAAAATAGGTGATCAAAAGTCGAACGCCCACCCACAACCCTCAGGAGTCCCTCAAGGTAGCGTATTAGGCCCACTACTTTTTCTCATCTATATAAACGATCTTCCTTCCCTTCTAACGAACAGTAGCCTAATTTTTGCTGATGACTTAAAAATTTACGCCGGCGTGCCACGCAACCCCACCCTGGCTGATCTGGCTTTTAGAGCCCTCCAGGCAGATATAAATGCGGTCAAAAGCTGGTGTGTTGAAAATGAAATGTCGCTTTCAACCTCCAAAACTTTTATCCTAACGAACATTCCCCCAGCCCGTTTCCAAGATCTCTACGTAGACAATACCCGGATACCAAGGACAAATGTGATTAAGGACCTAGGGATCACTTACAATCAGAAATTTAACTTTGAATCGCATATCGCCGCTATCCGATTAAAAGCCGCTCGTATATCCTTCCTTCTTATCAAAAGAATTCAAATTCCAAATGCGATCACGTACCGGCGTGCTTTCAGTACTTTAGTTAGGCCGATTTTGGAGTACGCTTCCGAGATTTGGAACCCAACCAAAAAGCGAAACATCAATGAACTTGAAAGTGTCCAACGTAAATTTACTTTCTTTGCCTATAAGAAATTGTTCCCAAATGAGCCTATGCCCTGTTACCCAGATCGACTAAAATTCTTTTCCCTTCCCACTCTAGCGCACCGTAGAACAGAAGCGGATTTAGTTACATTTTATAAGTCTTTTTTTGTAGAAACTTTTCCCTTCAAATTTTTGGAATGCACAAATCGTCCGATAAGGAATTCCCATGCTTTTCAAGTGAAGAGAATCCATAGTAAGCAAGGTTTCCCCCGTTCTTTCTTCTCGCGTAGAGTTGCGAAAACCTGGAATAAGCTCCCGCCTAGGGTCTTCAAAGAAGGTCAATTGGGAAATGCAAAGAGCTTTCGTGTAACTTTAGAAAAAATGGACCTGTCCCAATTTCTGTGATCTTTTCTTCCCTCCCCCGTTTGTTTCCGCATGTTATACAACCTCTGAACCAGTGGCACCACACATTGCCTACTCCCCACTCTTATTCAACTACTGAATAAAGTATATATATATAAATACTCTTTACAGGAAAAGATGGATTGGTGTGACGCGGAGAAGTCGACTCACAAAGACCCGTGGTCACTCAACCCACCGTGCAATCCGATTCCGCAGTGTCGAGGAAATGTCGAAGGACGTGCTGTGGGTTTTCTAGTCGTCATTCAGACAGCAGATGATCATCTACCACGAGACAGTTGCCGTATTTCAGCCGGATGCGAGGGATTGGCGCAAGAATCTGCTCTACTACCAGAAAAATGTCGACGGGGTCCCATGCGTCGTCTACAAGCAGTGCAGTGCTTTGACGGAAGAGGAGAGGATGAAGGTGGGAGACTTGTGGAGGAATAAAGGTAGATGAACACTTTTTCAGTACCATTGCGTCGGCTCGGCCATGACAACAAGCACGACAAAAGCCTCGACGACGACAACGGCAAAGACGACTGCAAAGACAACGACCGAGAAACCGAATGACGGGCTGGGGGATGAGGTCATCTTGATTGCAGGTAGAACATTTGATCGTACTTGTACAATTCGTCTCTTCAGCACTGGGCGGCGGCCTCTGCCTGTTCCTCATGGTGACCGTCATCGTATTGTGCTGCTGTCTGAAGAAGAAGGACAAGGGCCCGAAGGGAAAGAAGCCCATCGTCGATGACATGGTGGGTAGATGAGCAGCCGCATGCGGCTCATGCCAAATTCACAATGGCCTTTTTTGTAGATGAACGTCGGCGCTGGCTCGGCGGTCGTCGACCTCGACGTGGCGCCGATCAGCAACACCGAGGAGGGAGCAACGGATGCTAGTGAAAGCACTGCCGCAAAGTGTAAGTGCTTTGCGATATCTCGAGGGAGGAATATCATCTACGTTTCAGAACCATCCGACTACACGTCTTCAGCTACCCGACACAATGATGGGCATCGCCATCACTCGACTACCACCCAAACATACTCGATGCAACACCAAAAAACGCCCCTCTAGAAGCCCCGCCCCTCTATCCCCATCTCTCTGTATTTTCTTTTGTAAATCTATGTTTGTCCATCATTCTGTTTGCCATCGCATGTAGTTTGTACCTCTGTCCCTTCGTAATAAATCGGGTGCTTGGGCTGTCATGTGCTACTTGGCGAGGAAGAACACGAATCTTAGAAGGCTTTGAAGTCAAAGTTGTGCCTCCCCACCGCCGCGATTCCACCACTAAAATTTAGCTCGGAAGGTTTTCTACCGATCGTCAGGCGGAGAAATGGTCGAAGTTTCCAGAAAAAAAATAGGAGCGGCATTTAGTAAAGCTTGAGCCGATGTTTGGTTGTGCAGTGAATCTATAATTTGTAAATTCTCGTATCATCAGTACAATCATTTATTCACATAGAATTTGCACAGAACACGAGAAAAGACACGTCGATATGTGAGAACACAGACGAAGAAGTCGACACAGCGGAAATTCGTCGAAAATCGATCGCAAAGATGATGATAAAAACCGAGAAGTTGATGATGAAGCACAGACACCAATGTATTCAGACCGTAGGACCCGTTTTGGTTGGCTCGAGACATTGGACCGGTGATATCCTGGGGGTGGGGACGATAGAGCGGATTTCGGTGAATTTGTAAAGGGTTTTGGCGCGTAATAAGATCATTTTGGATGCTGGAATAGTTTAGAACATTGTACTAACATGTTTGTCAACTTGAAAAGTATATTTTTAAACGTTTTAGCTTATTTTGAAGCTTCTTTGGGTTTTTAGAGCCTGGAAATTGATTTTTCTCTGCTTTTTCGAATTTTCTAAGGTATCCCAGCGCCCAAAATGGTATATTTTACATACATTTTCAACCGTATTTCGTATCAGATCGAACAATAAAGGAATTATAGGTATTTTTTAAGCGGAAAAGGAAGTTCAGGATCAAAATGGTCATTTTGTAGCATGAGTTTACAGAAATTACATTACTTGACGACGTTGGATTCCAGAAATTTTCGATTTTTGCTTGTTTTTCCGAAATTCCGAAAGTTTACGCTTGCAAAAAAGACTAAAGAAGCTCTTATAGCCTGAGTTTTGGAAAAATACAGCACTTTACGATACTAGATTCCAGAAATTTTAGATTTTTAGTATGTCTACAACAATTTTCGATGTTTTTTGAAATTCCGAAACGTTCCGCCTTAAAAATGTTTGAATTTTGAACCTGATTCCTTAATATCGTTAAAATGAATGTGTGCGTACAATCAATAAATCGAAAAGCTCGTGATTCGTGGTGGGACCCATTGAAGAAACGGGTCTCTTGGGGATGGGTGGGGTGGGGGAGGCCAACACATCGCCAGAAGACATTGAAGAGGGCGTTGAGGGCATCAAACATTCTCGATCCTCATCGCCCTCGTCTTCTTGTAGACCCAGGGAAAGTTTCGAGACGATTACCTACAAAATTTAAAAGTTATTTCAGTTATTTGTCAGTTTTATCGAGCGTTCGGTCTACACCGGTTTCTTTGAATCTGCTAAATTCGTGCGATTCGGCGTTTTTTTACATGTTTTAGGCATAGAATTGCAGCTTTTGAAGAGATCTATCTATGGAAATACGTTTTAATTTCCCAAAAAATGCTAAATTTAACATTAAACTTGAAAAATTGATAGGTAGTCCTTGGAAATGAAGAAATAAGGTTACTAAAAGTTAGGGAGACTTCAAATGTTACGTTTTTCTATCGTTTGGTAGCGCTTGAGAAGTTCTATAAGATCAAATACATTTTGAAATCTAAATAAAAAAATTGGAAGGTACGATAGGCCGAAAGATTTTTCAACTTATAGAATAACCTTTCAAAAATATCGTAAAGAGCGTAGAATGGTTAGATTTTTAACGTGTTTGTGATCATCTTTTAGCTTGTTAAAAGCTCTGTTTAATAGAATATACCTTTTGAAGCTTAAAAGATTGATGGACTTCAAGTAACGAGGCCAGAAAAGCTATTGAAGATGCCAGAAAAGCTTGTAAATCGTCTTAACTTTGTTTAATGCAGGTTTTGTAAGATTTTTCGTGGACCGTTTGCAAGATCTTGTGGAGTAGGTATCGATACAGATTTAGATGATGAAAATCGAGTTTTAGCAAAGTTAAGTCAATTTTAACCCGACAGTTTCCGGAAATCTTTTCCACTCTTTTTATACTTTTAAGGCTCATTTCACCCCGTTCCGAGTACTCACCCGTATCGCCGACATTCTGCTCCCTCGCCTCGACCTCGAAATCGAGTCATGGGAGCCAAGCCTCTCACGTGATGACGTCGAATTCTTCGAAATCTTCCTCACAACGGATCCCCCGTCCGCTGTGGAGGGCACTCCCAGTGTGAGTTTCTAAAAAAACACCACGGATTAAATAGTTATGCCATGATTTTCCGGAGCTACAAACGCAATCCAAGCCAGGGGTTAACGCCAAAAATCATATCTATTCAAACGTAGAGGTTCAAACTTTTTTTGGTGGTTTTGGAAAACTGAAAAATTTGGGCAAGATGAGCGTGAGGAGGGAAGGCGGCCAGGGTGTGTGGTGAGGTTAGTACTGTAGGGGAGGGCAAGGGAAGGGATTTTGGTGATTTTAGAACGGTTTTTTTTGGTTCTTTTTTATTAATTCTAATTAAAATTTAATTTTTTATGGCGAGTTTTTAGCAAGTCAAAAATGAAAAACCTGTCCAAAGGTGCCAGAAATTAGAGTTAACCTATAGACTTTAAAAGCGAAATACCTACATTTTGGCATGTAAAATCGTCATACCTAGTTTAGCGATAAAACAGGGGAAAACGGCTTAAAATTAGTATCACCGGCCAGGTTAAACTTGCAAATCGGTTAAACCTACACACAACTGATTTAGACAAAAAAATCTTTAAGCTTATAAAATTTCTTTTTGATTTTTCTAGTTTGTAATTAGCCCGATTTTTTCAATTTCCAGCCGCATTACGCTATTATATTCTTAAAAAACGTGGTAAGCTCTCATTTATGGCATTAACTTTGTTGAAAATACCGTTAGCTTTTGGCGCGAAATGAGTGTTGAGCTTTGAATCCTATAGTTATGTTAAAATCAGTTTTCTAATCTGTTAAATTATTACATTCTTCAAGAACGTGATAAACTATTACTTATAGCATACAGCTTATCGGATGAAATGATACAAAAAAGTGGTAAAAATCAGAGGGTTTGGCACGAAAATTCGGATGCTACTTTCGTAGCCCTAGTTTTGCTTTAAAGCAAGTGTCTCTTCTATGACGCTATTATATTCATAAAAATTAATTAAACGAATTTCCCATGATTAAATACCTCAAAACTACTCATAAAAATCACCAAAATCGGATTAAAAACGAGTGGGGAAAAGGGGAGGTGATGGGTGTGGAGGAGCCGATTTATAGAAAAAAAAGTGAGCATGCTGTTAATATTATATATCAAAAATTGTAAATACAGATCATTCCCTATAAAATATACGGTAGTATACGGTATATTAAAGCGTGGGTAACTGAGGGGTACGGTATCTGGGAGTGAGTGAGTGGGGGTATAACTTAAAAGAAGCACCTGGGTAAATCGACTATGCTCTACCAAAAAACCATGCAGGCGTGGCCCGACACTCACTAGGTCCACGGCCTCAATTCCAGGAGGGGAAATTTTTCAAAGGGGTAATATGACATTTAATGAAATAAAATAAGGTATATAGAAGGGATTGAAAAGGAATTTTTGCAGGACTGGAAATTATCAAAAAATAAAAAGATGAATATTGGGATTTTGAGGAAAATTCGGATCGATCGATTACGACATGAAATACGGTCGGTGGAGTTTTTTGGAAACATGCAATTGTAGTTTTTGAGGTTAGGGCGTATTTCAAACCCACTAAATTTTGTGTTTTCGTTTGAAAACTGAAATAAAGATAAAAACAGAAAATAAAATTTCAAGATTTTTAAAAATTTGAAAAACGAGATTTTCAAATCTATGGTTTCAATTTTGAACTTTTGAAGCTGCTAATACCTTCTAAAAACCTCTTTTGTAGGCTGCTAAAATTTGCTGCTTTTTTTGACAGTTTTAGCCCGGAACATCCATTAAAAAACTGTTTTAAGCAATTAAAATTGTTCCGAAAGATCCTTGAATTATAGAAATTGTGCTTAAGTAATTTTTACGCTCAATTTCCATAAATTTCCAAAAAAACCACCAGGACACTTTACAAAAATTTCAATCCACGTGCACAACGGGTATTTTCAAAAATGAAAATTCGGGTGAAATCGGGTTTAAAATTTGAATTTTAAAGGGGTGGGTAACCTCGAAAAGGGGGACAGTACTCTTCTCGCTCCCTAGAGGGGATCACCTTTAGGCCGTAGAAGCGGAAGAAGTGGAAGAAGAAGAAGAAGACGCAGAGGAGCGCTAATAAGTGCTCTAAACGACGGCGATTCGAACGAATTATAGGGGTACGGTAGGTGGGGGCACTTTTTAGGGAATAAAGGCACATCATAGGAAGAACAGAACCACGGCAACGTTGCCTCTAACGGGCCAGTTTCCATCGAAACTTTCAATCTTTCGGCTGCCGTCAAGGGGAGTGGTGCGGAATGGGTTACGGTAGAATACGGTAGTTTTAACAAGCTTTTATACTTTTTTGGATGTTTTAGCTATTTCAAAAGTTTGTTAGGTGCAAAATCACCTGAATTCTGTATTTTCTTTTTCTTTGTCTAATCGTTGAATTTATAAAGATAACGTAATTTCTAGGTGTAATTGATATAGAATATACAGAACCAGCGCTGACCCCCCCGCTACGCGGGGTTTCAGCGCTGGCCCTTCCCCCACAATTTGAATTTGAAATTTGAATGCAAAATTTGGCTGAATTCCCGGTCGGTCGGTCGGGCGGACGGACATTAGAAATTTATATATAGTAGATTACATGAGTTTGATAGCTTTTCAATAGAAAGTCTAATTGGTTACGCCATC